ATTCTATTCTATTCCAATTCTATTCTATTCTATTCTATTCTATTCTATTCTATTCTATTCTATTCTATTCTACTCTACTCTACTCTACTCTACTCTACTCTACTCTACTCTACTCCTTTTCCTTTTCCTTTTCCTTTTCCTTTTCCTTTTCCTTTTCCTTTTCCTTTTCCTTTTCCTTTTCCTTTTCCTTATTCTATCCTATCCTATCCTAACTTTCTGTTGTTTTTTAAAAACTTTCTGTTGTTTTTTAAAATCCAATGGGTTCCTAAATTCTGATCACACCTCTGTGAGAAAAATAATAAAAATAATAATAATAAAAATGAATGAATCAGCCATCTCCCGAAACGAGGACCAATGGAATTTCTCCATCTGTCAACTTCCAATTCGGATGGAGCATCGCAGAGGGAAATCCTATCCACACCTCCCTGCTGTAGAGTGGGGTGTGTCGTTTGCATGTGCGAGTGAGCGAAGTATTCACATAGCACGGCGCCATGAAAAAAAAACACACATGGGGAAATGAAAAGCAACTCGACACCTCTTTTGTGAGATTTTTTTTACACAATCCTGAACTTCAATCTCTCCTGGGCTAAAAAAAAGTGTTACGTTGAATCAGTTATGTGTAAAATTTCACCTCTGCTCCTTTTGCAGAGGGGAAAAAAAGGCCAATTTGAGGACAATTGGAACACTTCCCACCCTGAGAAGAACCAAAACAAAACACCTGACCATTTTTTTGCAATGGGAAAGGTTTTATTTTGCAAGGAAAATTGAGGTTTTTTTAAAAAAATTCTCCCACTCCCCAACCTTTTTGGAAAGCCATGAATCCATGCAGCAAGAACAGCTGCTTGCTGCAAGAGAGTAATTTTCTTAAGGGGGAGGAGTAAGAATCAATGGAGAAGCTGCCTTCATCCCCTAGCAACCAGTCCTTTCCTTATCTGCCAATCAGTGGAGAGCAGGAGGGGGGAAGTCACACAAAAGCTATTGCGGGGAAGGAAATCGGGAAAATCTGGCAGAGATAAAGAGCGAAGAAGAACGTGCCAGGGGTTCACATGAAGTGGGGAGGGGTGGGTGGGAAATGCCCTATTTTGTGTGGTTTGCCTGCAGGGGAAAATGGGAGGGGCTAGGACTCCCCCCCAGGGATCAAGGGTCAGGAAGAGAACAAGGCTGAAACTTTTCCCCCCAAGGAGGAGGGGTCCGGAACGGGGAGGGAGGGTGAGGGGGAAGTAGTAGACTGGGGGGGGGGGGGTTCTGGGGTATTGTGGCGGGGCAGATGCTGAAAGGAGAAGGCTGGTTGAATGTAGTGGGGGGGTATCTGGAGGGACTCTGCGGAGTGACGGGGTGGGCTGCCTGGAGGCCCTCCGCAGATGGATTGTGGGGGTGCCAGGAAAAGACTCCACAGATGTCCAGATAGATGTCATGGATCGACCATGAGGGTGCCTGGAGGGACTTCAAGGGATGGACTGTGGTGTTGTGGCCTGCCAGTGGGCCGGCAGAAGACTCGGACAGTGAGGAGGTTGGGGAGGAATATGGGGCAGTCCTGGAGTCTGGGGAAGGCTCTGACAAGGGCTCTGCGTCGGAGGCACAGATGGGGGCAGGGCCATCCAGCAGTTATCAGCTGCCTTCGGAGTCGGAGATCAGTGGGGCAGAAGAACAGCCGGAGCCTGTTCCCAGTGTGTGCATGCGCAGAGCTGCCAGGAGAAGGGAACAGCTAAGGAACAAGGGCCAACTCGGGAGTAAAGGCTCAGGTGGACGGTGAATGGCCCCTCCCATATGGAATAAAGAGGAGTGAAAGGGGAGTGGGGCTTTGCAGGAGACAATTAGTTCAATTCATTAGGGTGAATTCCTGACTTCTTGCCAAGTAATTGCTGCTACAGTGTGGCATTTGGAAGCTATTGGCCTGGCAACTCTCCAAAGCGTGATAAAGGCCTGTAGTTGTGAAATCTCATGAAAGACTGTTGGCCGGGACTTTGCTGGAGAGGAATTCACTTTATAACCTAAATCAAAGGCGTTTTATCAGGATGAGGAGTTGGCTTCATGATCTTGGGAAGTTTAGGTCAGAACACATGGAGTGTCAGGAGGGACTCCCCAGAACAACCATGGAGTGTCAGGAGGGACTCCAAGGATTGACCTTGGGCTGACCAGGGGGATTCCATGGATTGACTAAGGGGAACCCAAAGGGACCCCATGGATTGATGGTGGGGTGCCTGGAGGGACTTGATGGATTTACCGAGGGCTGCCTAGAAGAACTCCATTTTCCAACCACAGAGTATCCGGAGGGACTTGGGGTATCGATCGCAGGGTGTCTGGAGGGATGGCACGAATTGACACCGGGGTGTCTGGAAAAAGAGACTATGTGGAGGGTCCATGACATGGCCTTGGGACAGATTCGTTCGCCGGTCCCAACTGGGAAAAGAATTAGAAGGTGAATGGGCCAAACATCAGCATCTGTAGGAGAAGCGAGGACAGAATATGGGGGGGGGGGCAGCATGAAAAGAGGCAGCAGCCTAGAAGTCTTACGTAGTCGCAAACAAGCTAAGTCCAGCCTCCCTTGAATTCGGTTGGCTCATACCTTAACTTCTACTACCAAGTTTCCCTGAAAATACGACCTACCACGAAAGTAAGTCCTATCTTGATTTTTTTACATGTGCACCCAATATAAGCCCTACCCCAAAAATAAGCCCTAATTAGAGCATGTGCACCAAAGACAAATTCCTTGTGTGTCCAATCACATTTGGCCAATAACGAATTCTATTCTATTCTATTCTATTCTATTCTATTCTATTCTATTCTATTCTATTCTATTCTATTCTATTCTATTCTACTCTACTCTACTCTACTCTACTCTACTCTACTCTGATCCTCACCTGCTCCAGGGTGCAGAAGGTGGGGCAAGGCACACAGGTAAAAAAATAAGCTAGGGTGGGGATTGGGGGATGGGGGTGGAGCTGCCCTACTTACCAGGCCTTGCACACCCCGACATCTGCCTTGCCGGCCCACTTCTTCTGCAGCCGCTTACCGCCACTTGTGTGTGTTGCCCCCGGCCTCTGTTTCGTTGTCAGAGGCTTTCAGAAAAGGTCCCTGCAGCTAAGAAACAGGCTCCAGATTGACGCCTGTGGCATTACCCTGGCCTCATTTCGCTGTCAGAGGCCTTCCTGAAAAGCCCATGGAGCTGTGCTGTCGGCTGCAGAGAGTGCTTCCCAGAAGGGGGGGCACCACGCGCATCAATCCGGAGCCTGTTTCTCAGCTGCAGAGGCCTTTCCTGAAGGCCTCTGACAGTGAACCAGAGGGTGTGTGTGTGTGTGTGTGTGTGTGATGTGTGACACGTGCAAGCGGCCACAGAAGTGGGCTGGCAAGGCACACCAGATGTCGGGGGTGTGCAAGGCCCGGTAAGTAGGGCAACTCCACCACCACCCTATCCCCACCCTAGCTTAATTTTTAACCCGTGCACCTCACCCCACCCCCTGCACCCCGGAGCAGATGGGGGTCTTTATTAGGGCTTATTGGGGGGGGTAGGGCTTATATTGGGTGCACGTGTAAAAAAAAAATCAAGCTAGGACTTAACTTTTGGGTTAGGTCATATTTTCAGGGAAACTCAGGTAGTAGGAGTTAAGATATGAGTCAACCGAATTCAACCTCGTGTGTGTGTGTGTGTGCGTGTGTGTGTTTAGCAATCCATCACTTTAGTTCAGGGGTCTTCAAACTTGACAGCTTTAAGACTTGTCGACTTCAACTCCCAGAATTCCTCCTCCAGTCATGTTTGCTCAGGAATTCTGGGAGTTGGTCCACAAGGCGTAAACTTGGCAAGTTTGAAGACCCTTGCTTTAGTTGGAAGATTCCTGCGTATAAGCTATCAGCAATCAATCACTTTAGTTGAAAGGTTCCTGCATATATGCCTTTCAGCAATCCATCACTTTAATTGGACCTGCGTGTGTGCACCTGGTCCTGGTCTTTGCCATCTGGATAACACCCTCCATCTGGAGGAGGGTCTTCCCAATTTCTTCGGTGGGGGACCAGTGTCCCCCCCCCCCTATTTTAGGGGGTGGAAAATAGGTCTCTTATTTCTCTGCCCGGGTGCACAGGCAAGTCACGCAATAAAGCACCACCTGTCTGCCTTGGCAGAGTGGGCTTAGCCCTGGGGGAACCCTTTCTCAGTGTACCCTATTTTTGGGAGGGGTCCCTAACCTTGGACTGCTGCCAATGATGCTGCTGTTGAGGAGAAGGGGCAGACATGTGGAAACACAGATTGTTGAGAAGGCCGAAGAAGCAGGAGCAACTTTTTAGTGACAGACCCACTCTTTTTCTTAATGTCGGACGCACAAATATGGACACTTTCATAGAGATCGCTGCTTCAACAGTAGTATGAAATCTGTTGGGAAGGAGAAACT